AAGTTAGACTTGCCAAGGAACAAAAGAAAAATACTACCTCACCAGTGGCATTGTGTTCGGAAAATGCACATCTATCAACAGGGTCTACACAACCTGAGAGACTACAGGCACCGAATGTTAACTCCTAACTGAGGAAGGGTTCCATTTGGAAAGATATATAAGTCCCTAAAGGTAAGCTGGGTACGTGCTGAGCTGGCCAGAGCACCTAGGCTCACGCAGCAGTGCCTGCGTACCCTCCCAGGAGCCCGCAGGAGCTGTCAGCCTGATGAGGAACCATTTACCTTCCGTCTCCTCTGTAACAAACAGGCACACAGGCTTCCTGCCCCAGGCTTGCCTTATTGTGAGGTCTCTTCTCAATCTGTTCTTAACGCCTTTATCCCTTTTCAACTTTTTTCATGTTTAGATGAAGAATGCATCCGACAAAGCCCACAGCAGAGTGCATACAGTTCAGGACCGGGTTCCTCCCATGGGAAAGGACTATGCCAGAAAGAAGAGCTAGCCCTCCTCTGAAGAGGATCTGATAACCAAGTTTTTGTTCTTTTGAGCCACCTTACCAAGTGGGTCACGAGGGCTAGTGCCAGTGCAGCAGAGGCTGCGAGTGTGTGTCTGTGAGCAGAGAGCACAGTGAAAGGGATGCTCCCAGCTACAGCAGACTTAAATACGCTTAAAGCAATCACAAACCCACAGTGGCACCTCTAAATGTAAAATTCCGGTGGAAACTTCCCTTAATTTTATTTTCCAGTACAAGAACTGAGGGCATCAGATGAAGTCAGTAGAAGCCAGGTCTGAGACGAGAGGAGGGAGTTTAGGTGAGCTGTGTAACACCTTGCCACAGGACGCTGCGGGGGGTCAAAGCCTGTAAAAGTTTGTGGCATAACCGGAAAACTTTATAGAACAGAAATCCATTCAGGGTTATAAATACTTAGAAACTCCATCCAGATCTGGAAGTTTGTAAGCTGCAGCCAGCTGGAAGAGTGTTAGAAAGCAGTATAATTTATGCTTGTGTGTTCTTTTCTGTAGGCATCCACTTACAGCCACAGTCCGATGCAGGATAGTGGGCTCGATGGACCTTTGGTGAGGTCCAGGACAGCTGCTCTCATGGTCTCTATTTTGAACTCACCCCTAATATGAGCTGTCCCCTCTTTCCTGGTAACTTATTATTAGAACTGGGTCACATGAAGCATTTGGGACCACGTCTCGGTTGCGTTGACCGACATTTCTTTCATGGGGAGAGCTCTGTGCTGGCAGGCACAGCAATATAGCTTACGCGGGGAGGGAAGTAGCAGGTTTTTTGCATAAGATTCGCTTAATGCAGACTTTTTCATTTTTGCGGCTGTTCCCTTTTCCATAAGGGATGTATGGCTGAGCTAATCCAGGGAGGCGTCAAGGCGCGTGCTGTATTTAGAGACAGCCACCTGCTTGGGAACAT